ACCGTATTTGGAACATGTGTCAAGGGTTTTCGTCTGTGATCAACATTCTTACTTTGAAGAGTATTCTGACAGTTGCTTGAATTTTTGCACAAGTGTCCTGTACAAAAGATACATTTCTTACGTTTTTTCATACATACAATCTTATATTATCAGATATGAAACGCATCCACACTTACTAAATTCAAACAGATATTGTGATACATCTGTATGTAAACAAACAATATATTCTTACATGATTACAAGATGACTTTAAGAAAATATTCCTTATAAAAAGTAACATAGTTACACTGTGGGACTGTGTATTCATTGTCCAAACAGCCTTTGAGTATGTAGAGATTATTTTATATTCCATTTTTTTAAAACAAGATCCACAGTGCTATCAATTTCCTACTGTTTGAACAATATTTTTGTTTTACTTTTTTCTGTTGACATGGTATTTTATACTCAGAAAAATACCAACTTTCTAACTTACTCTGAAAAATGCATTGACAGTTAACCGAAACTATAAACTTGCATCATAATTATCAGGTCAAAGTTTCAAAAAGATCAGGAAACCGTCGAGCATGTCAATGGAAAGACCATCTATATTCAGTACGAAATGTATATAGAAGCTGACACGAGTGTCTTACAAGATCAAATATATCAAGAGTTGATAAAGGTTAGAAATAGCTGAGGTTAGCCGAGTTTAGAAGAGACGAGGGTGACATTCTGATATTATCATCCAAAGTCATTAAACCAACCTGTGTTTTTCAAATGTGTAAACAGCTTAAAGGGGAAGTGTACACGAATAAATCACATTTATTCTTATGTGAATCAAAGTGAACTGTTTTAATTAGTTAATGCCAATGTTTGAAAATATACACTCATGTTTCATACAATGTAAGTATAACCCTCAAAATAAGTGCTGAAATGTTATGCCAATATGAGGTATTTGTTTGCCGAGGTAAACAGGCCAGAGTTACCGCCCTTTGATTATGACGTAATTGGTGCCACTTGATTTTAAACTGGTCTCCTGTCTAGTCCCAAATCCAAAGATAATAATACTGATATTAATCACGTGAAAAAAAATTGTGAAAATACGAAGAAGCATAAGAACAGAAAATGTAAGCAGCATGACGGATTGATCGTGTGTATTTTCATTCATAACCTCGCCTCAATGAAAATACCAAATACAAATGTATGTATAACGATGTTGACGTCCGTATGACATCACTATCGGGAAGCGACTTTTTCAAAATGGCGTGTTCACAGTGAAGACAGCGGATTAGGGTCTGCAAAGCTGCAATGAGTGCTTGCATTCGAGCCACATCACAAATGCATTATGCCCATGGTGTTTACATCTGCTGCGTCATTGAATTATTGATGGTGAATATCCGGAAAATACCTTTGGCCTAGCAGCTTATGTTTTATTAAGATTCTGTTGTAGTAATATATGACCCAAGCGTAAAGTGCATATACCTCACGTTCTTGAAATTGGCATTATGATTATCCAAATAATACATCAGCTGTATACTGTATGACTCCATATAAACAAAGCAGATCTGAATACTTACTTGACGACATTATTGGAGTCATTTGGCACGAATATCTACACACCGTAACTATATGAACCTACCAGCTATATGAAGAGTGTCATGTAGCAAAACCGATTTGAAGTTAATTGTCAATGTGATGTACCTGTAGCTTGTTATTGGAAATATACTGACTGACCGGGACCGACTGAGCATTGTTTCACGCGCTTTTAGTTTTACCAATATTCCAGCAACATCACAAGCGGGGACACTCCAGAAATGGGCTTCACACATTGTACTTACATGTGGGGAAATATACTGAGGGAAACAAATATGGGAATCAATTCACTTCATGGCATTGTTCCTTTATTTATTCTCAGATTTCCTTCTACAGCCATTCAAAGTTGGTGATGAAAAACGGAGTCGCGTGAGTGAGTTCGGTTATACGATGCAAACTTAGAAAATATTAAAGGAATGGTTAGATTTTCCTGTGTTCCCTTTATTTGCTTCTCACAGTTTGTTTCCTTTGTTTTGGCCTGTCATGCTTGGCTGAAAAGACTCTTTAGTTTTCTAGTTTTATAACTTCACTGTAATGTAATGTACCTCTTTACATTTTATATGCATGTTATTTCAAGACCAGTTCATCATATCTCTTTTAGTGATAAACTATGAAATGGGTGTCATTTTGTTCTATAAATGTTTAGATTAGTAATGTTTAGATTTTGTGTTATCTGGGGAATCTATGATCTATTTTGATAACCAGACCTTGTCACATTTTTCATACTTGTAGACACATTTACATGTGACATGTCCAGGGTCAGGCCATCTGTCAGTCTTGGATGGCCACCTGTATACATAATGGGGAGTCCTGTTGTATACACACCAGCAAGTGGTGGCTCCTTTGATATTCAATAATTTTACATTTTTTAGTTTTACTTTCACAGAAGTATTAACTGAAAAAAGGTTTGCATCAAAGCATCTCTGGTGGCAAACTTCTATTTTAACGCTTTCTGTATTGCTCTCATAAACATTATAAGATCAGTCACTTTTCTTGAGAACTGGGCTTAAACAGATCTTTCTGTATTGCTTAAGGAAGATTTGAACAAATCTGCAAGCTATACTTGTAGAATGCATTTTGCATTTTGTTAGAGTGATATTAGCCAATACATTTCATTAACTTTCACAATGTTCACTTTAAACAGATATTTGAGTTGGATATTTATGAACCTACTAGAAAATAACAGTGCAATATTAACTTTAAGGTACTTTCAAATATGTAACATCAGTTATATTTGGAAGTACTCTTTCTCAGTAAAGTACAGATTGTAGTACTGTTTTCAGTCCTAGCCAAGATTGGAACTCCCATTGACATTCTAAATGGCACAGTGTATTCATAGCCTTTGACCAGGGGAACCGTTCCAATGTAAACTCATCAGAGGGGTACTCAAAGTATGTGATCTACACTACCAGTTGTCAGACTTCATTTTATGTGGAAACTGTGGCAGCTGAGTGAGTTAGATGGATGACTTTGTGTGCAATCCATCACATTTTCTCATAATCGAACACAAACGATTTTGGAACTACTGTTTAAGTGTTTGAAACTCTTGACGGTGGAATATATCTTAGAAACTGTCTGGGCCTGAAAACGTGTTTAATTCTTAGAAAACTCACTCACAGTCATGACTGAATATTTCTTAGAAGACTCCAGGAAGTTTATGTTCATGATATATTAGTTTTCACTTTAAAGTAGCAAGTTGCTTTATTTTACATTGGGATTTGAATTTGCAAATGCAATTTGCACAGTTTCGAAATAAAGCAAAAGACAACAGAGAACCACTTACATATACATACTTATCTGCAATATCAACCTGAAATAGGAAAGAAGTAGAAAAATGGCGCTATCCATTTTTTTTCAATGATTGCTTGTTGGTAAATTATCAATTGTGAGATTTCAACCAATTCCCAACACTAATCATTATTATCATTATATACTGATGCCCTGCATCACTATGTACCAGTACCTATTGTTATGATGATTATAAATAGCAACACTGTTGACAGCAGCTGCCGTTTGTACAATTGTTGTAGCTACTCAGGTGACACATGTGGAAAGTAAATGTATTGATATTGGTCATATCTACTGCAGTCAGCTGTGAAGGTCAGTGAGTTCCCAGAACATGAACTGTCATTATCATTGTACCATTGTTGTGTTTTGAAACATGGAGGTCAAAGGGCAATAAACAAACATACAAATGTTGAAGCTTAATGACCAAACATAAAAGAATACCATTATTTTGAGTTCATTGTTTCCATAGTTACTGCTTGCTGTGTTGAGTTGAAATTGGGTTTTACGTGGGTAGCTTGAGAATATTTCAGCTCATATGACGGCGCATATGCATGTTGTTTATAAGCGGCTGCTTGTACTAGCCCAGACTGAAGCTGGTTTTATAGTGCTAGCCCACTGAGATACCATGCCGCAGTGAAGCATGAATACCCCACTCAGACACATTATACTGACTCCGAGCCGACCAGTCCTTGTTGTACCCATTAATGCCGAAAGCCAGGCAGGGACCAACAAGTACCATATTTTAATGTCTTTTGGTATGACGCCGTCAGGGGATCGAACCAGCGACCTTCCGCTCTCGGGCAGAGCGGCTCTAAGTCTAACCACTACACCACGGAGGCGGTCGCTTGCTGTGACTTTAGCCATTAGTCCCAGTGACTTAAGTCCATTATAGTTAAGTTTTATCCAGTAAGCTTTGCTAACAATAGTCCATTGTAATGGTAACACAAAAGATATACTAAAAATATGCTAAGATCTGCATTAGGGCCTGTAGACTCAAACGGTTTTGACCTTTTCACAGATGGTACTGATATTGATAATGATGAAAATAATAAACCGCTCATAGTTAATCATCAAAGGCATAATCATGATATTAGGGAGAATGGAGTCTTTGAACAGCATTTAGAAGTGATACACATGAAGGCAAGAATTTATGAATGTCAATTTCTTTATTTATATTTTAATGGACACGCTTTAATGGTATGTTTGTGTCCATCAAAATAATGAAGTTGACAATGACATCATAAATTCTTGACCTTGGTATTATTTTCTTTTGTTTAGATTTTTGGTTAAATAATTAGAAACTGTTGAGAAAGTCTTTTGGGATTATACTCTTTACCCCATCAGGTGTCTTTTGGATGAAACAGCTGTAAACCTCTTTAAGAGTCACAATTGTCAATTTGTCTTCATATCTACAATATCTTGTGTAGAGAGGCATTCCTTGGTATATGATCATAATCATATGGTTGTGATCCATGATTCTATAGCTGGAATATTGCTGAGTGCTCATAAAACTCAACTCACTCACTCACTTAATCCATGATTCACAAAGAGTTTGTTTCTAGGTTTGTCTGCAGTAATCTTAAGGTCATGACAAACAGTTTCTTTGAGAAATACACTATGGATGATATTGTTGTGTGTTGCAGGTGGCTTCAGGAAACTCCGGCTTTGTCGCTTCCATCCATGGCCGAAGGAGGAGCTCCCATTAGCGAGGAGATCGCGAAAGAAGTTTACTGACGAGGGCTACAAGATTCACAACCTGCCATTTGTTACCAACGTTGTGAAGACTAGTTTCCCTTACATCAGTCTTCTGTCCATCTTCATCGCTATGTCCAAGGTGTATCCCAGGGTTGCCGAGTATGTGCAGGTAACAGATACTCACCATGTTTCAGTATTGGCTTTTAAGCATGCTGATGTCAGTCCTTCTCTATATTATACCCATGAAGATCCAGGGTAGAAAATAATGGTCTTCGGAGTAACCCATGCTTGTCATAAGAGGCCTTACTATAACGGATCGGGTGGAATCTGGCATGCTGAGTTGGCTTGATGTACATGTCGACTAACGTTTTTATCCCAAATGTAAATGTAGATCGATGCACATGATGTGTGATCACATGCACGCATTATCTTGTGTCCAAACTTGAATATTTACAGACCCCCGCCATATAGCTGGAATATTGCTGAGTGCAGCGTTAATACAACAAACCAACCTTCTATTTAGTATATTTATTATTGGGTCCCTGCTGGTTAATAAATCCTGTAAAAGTCCTAAAATCTTAGTTTGAGTTTCCCAGGGCTGGAATTATTTTGAAAATGGAAAACCACTTGTAAGAGATATAATTTGTAGCTCTTTGGGAGATCATTTATGTTTACCAACATGGTTTCTGAAATAACCTGAGAAAATTACTTGACAGATGTGGGCTGTTGGGGGCCCAGTGGTTAAAACATTTACTCATCACACCTAAGACCTGGGTTTTATTCTCCATAATATACTAAACACTGCTACAGCCAACAGTCAATCCAAACAAGCCCAAAAAAATATTTACTATGGATGATTAAAAATTCCTGACATTTTCATATAAAGTACTCAAGAATAGCCAGCTTCAGTGGAAGAGAGTGATATCATGTGTTGCTGACATAGTTACTGATGACATCATATGTGAAGCATTTAAGTGTATTTCAAATTCACTACTATTCATAACAGTTCATAAAAATAAGAAGAAGTCTATTTCAAATTCAACTATTCCTAATTCATTGGTGACTCAGACTTGATCCCATTGATCTTCTTGTGGTAGTTGGGCAGTGGGTAACTAAGTGGTTAAGTCGTTCACTCGTCTCGCGAAGACCTGGTTTCGATTCCCTACATGGGTACAATATGTGAAGCCCATTTCTGCTGTCCCCTGCTATGATATTAGTGGAATATTGCTAAAAGCAGTGTAAAACTAGACTCACTCACTTTTGTGCTTTCGATTTTACTCAGAGACAGACTCTTAAGTCATAAATGATTCATATAACCATTTTGATATTTCAGGAACACAAACTATGTGCCCATCCATGTTTGGAGATTTATGATGGGAAGAACATCCACTTCATGGCTCCCTTGGCTAAACAGGACGAGTTCTATGTGGCTGAATACAACCAACCGAGTCCTGAGGATGATGCCTCGGAACTGGAAGACCCAAGTCTAGCTGAAAGCCTCCCAGATGACAGCATCTCCTACAGCGAACCTTCTTTCAGCGAAATTAGCCAAAGTCTGTCCACAGATCTCACAGTCAGCACTGAAGATAAGGAAGGGGAGGTAATCAAAATGGCTGCCGTGCAAGCTGGTGCAGGAGAGGCAAAAAATTTAGCCGACTCTGGGTTTTCTTCCGATGCAGTTCCCTCCCCTCTTTCCGGCTCTCTTCAGGTGGAGGACCCTGCTGACACAGGGTCAGAGGGCAGCTCAGGATCGCCTTTCGAAGATATAAAAGGTGAAACCGAGGAACTAATTAAAGAAATGAATCAACAAGTGGAGAGTAAGGAATAGTTGCTGATTTTGTTGCGAGGAGCTGAACAAGCAGAACATGACCGTGTAAAGATTAATGCTATTAAGGTGTCCATCTTTTTACTTGTGTGGGTGCACTCTGTGATTGATGTGTGCTCTGTTGACGTGTAATACTATTATCCAATGGTGCATAACAACTAGCTTGCTGTTGAACATGTATGAATGCATTTATTAAACATATCGTGATAGATTAGGCTATTGATAACCTGGCCTTGGTAGTGTAGTACGTGGTCTGTGTCTGTAGAAATATTTTTATATTGTAAAGATTATTGTATTTATTATGACAGATATTGAAATGTTTTCAACTATGAATCTTACTGGTAAATATGAAATAGAATTTTAATGACAGGGGGTAATGTATTAATATAGCTCCTCAGTATGTTAGACTGGTCAAGAGGGACTTAATGGATTGGGTGGTCCAACTTCGAGCGATGTTGTTGATTGTAGGTCATGGTGACCTGACAGTATGGACCATTACATACCACATCAATAACCATTGCAGCAGCGTTTACCTCGACTACAAAATGACCCCATGGAAATTCACTAGCCAGTCGGACCCAGTGACTGTGGAGATTTATTAGCCCAACTGGATTTCTACTAGCCATAGGCTAAGCGGGCCAGTGGTTATTTAGCACACACTGCTCGGGGCCCCTAATTATTAGTTTTAAGGGTCCTTGCAGCCAATATATGAGGGGGTCCTGTGGAAATGCTTGTTAATAGAGAACTCTATGTTTTCTTTAGAGCCTGGAGTGAATCATTGATCATGTGAACTGATGGGTGAACTGATGCATGTAAACGCTCTGAAAGAGAAACAACCAAACACTAAGCAAAGTCACAGATGTGTTAATGGGTACAGTGAATGATATTTGTGAATTGTTTTCCTGCATCCATTCTCTACATTTGTGCATACTGGACCCACATTTATCGTGTCACGTAAAACTGTGCATTGTATAGTCCGGACTCTTATATTCCCTGGCCACTATCATATATACATGTGGCTAAAATATAGCTGAGTAAGCAGCAGTAAACAACAAACGCACGCATGCGTTTATGAATAATATTTATATATATTTGGTATCTTATTATTATTGCTGTCATTCCCAACTTTTGCAAGATAATCAATTTCTTTTAAAGTAAGCTCCAAAATATATGCAATAGGCCAAGAGCTACCATATTGTAAAAAGTTTTACAGTGTAGAAAGTGTGTATTTTAACCTTTTCTCTGGATAAAATACTTTTTAAACTGCTATTTCTTATAGAGCAATTAAATCAGGTGTTGTCATACATTACACAAATGTCATAGAAACATTGATCTCAGTGTAACATATCACGCTATGTTGATACAAGAGACAGCAATACCGAATATGTCAAACCAGGTCACTAAAGAAGATATTGGTGAATATTACAGGTTACCAAGTTTACTAGTCAAGTTGTATCGATCATGTTGGTGGTAGCTTTGTTTTTTTCAGATCCACACCAATCTAGTTACATCTCTTGCTTATCTGTGCCATGCATTAGGGTTTGACCTGAAAGCAACACCATATTTCACTTGCCGTCTCACAATATCAGCTGTAGGTGTCAGGTTTTTCTGCATGGTCGTGCCCCATATGGGTACAATGTGTGAAGCCCATTTCCGGTGTCCCCTGCCGTGATGTTGCTGGAATATTGCTAAAAGCGGCGTAAAACCAAACTCAGTCAATCAGTCTGCATGGTCTTGAATAGGTTCTTTGTATCTCTCAGGCCAACTGGATCTGCAGAATTTAAGAAAGAACCACAAACTATTTAGAAATGGTTGTGAAAGTTGTCTGATATGATGACATGAATGGCATTTTGTCCATGTTGTGGACTTATGCCAATGCTAAATGTGGACCCAAAGCTAAACTTTGTCAGAAAGTTTTGTTTTAGAGGACACTTAATGCGGCATCAGCTCTCTGCCTTAAGACTAAGAGTAGGGTAGTATAGTGCCAAAATCATTTTCTCTTCATGCCAAAGGCCTGGGTTTGATTCCCTACATGGGTTAAAATTTGTAACATTATTCAAAGCTGCTGACAAATTGGCACACTTTCACCTGCCTCAGGTGTACAAGTTGAGCCAGTTATTCAAACCAGGTCAAAGACTAAAGTGTTGAATTTCCAACTTGATGAAATTTAGTCACCAAAGCGTCAACAACATGTTTTACATAATACCTCTGAAGAGTAAGCATCAGGAAAGCGTTAATATGTTGGAGGGATGAAGCCATTCACTCTCTCTGTTCAGGATGTCGATC